ATATATCAGTTTCAGTTTGAACAACCATTAACAATGCACTTTCGTGTGCCAGTTTTGGTTGCTGTCCTTTGGTTGCCACCTATTTGGATAGCTTACTTGTTCCCACAAATGAACGTTATATATTGGTTATGGGTGGATTAAAAGAAAAAAGGATTATTTGATGGGACGCCTTGATGTATAATTGATAGGGAAAAACCGTTTCCACCCATAAAATCCAGCGACCCAACTGGCGATCGAACCGGGGACCTCACAGGTAGAACGCAAGGACACTATTCACTCGACCACCAGACAGCTGATCAGGCCGGTTTTCATCTTCCATTTACACGATATAGCACAACCCATCTTCTGCGAGCTTGCTGCGGTCCAGAGATCCTGCTCATCTCAGCACTAGCACTGGCTTCATTTCGATTCCACACTTTGCATTGCGAGAAGCATAACATGGACCAGCCAGGCGTATTGCCGTTCTCAACTATAGTGCGTGATATTTCACTGAATGTAAGACCGAATCAGGTGGCCGCACGTTCGACACCGTTTGCTCTGCGCGCGTGGCAATTAAATACGAATCAAGTTCTCAAATTCGCGTGTCAGTGTTGCGAGTGAACCAAATTAAGCAGCCGATCACGTGTGTGTGTGTGTGTACACAAAATGGGACAAAAAGTGAATGAACGGGTGAATCACTCACTCTATACCAGTGGATCGGTGCGTATTCGAGCAACTGTTGAGGTCACGCGATGATACTCGGTAAATATGAAGGTCTGCAATGGGTTAGAATGTTGCGCGCAAAAACGTGCTGCCTACCGGTCAAACGTTATGGTACATCATGCATGTCCCTCTGACTGGAGAATATATAGTTTTTCACTCCAAATCTCAGGGTACGGGATGACAACTGTCTGTGAAGAACAATACATTCCGGTGAGTATGAAAGCCGTCGAGTTTGTTTTTTTCGTTACACCAAATGATAGAAAACGGAAACAGTTGCTCGATCACTTTCGGTCCCGTATCCTCAAATCTCCCGATATAGTCAGACTCAATCATGTGTCAACTATCTCCCGTCCCAACAGTGCTTGTTAATCCACATCCTCTCCTCATTGATACAGATTTTACCAAATCGTTCGGTCTGGGAAGGGGCAGAGGGGCGGCGGCAGTTCGTCAAGCAAAATTCGGTTTGACGTTTGCAACACCCGGTTCGGTGTGTGTTTATCGGGCCAAAACGACGTTTGGAGTGCACAACACGAGAGATCGGTAATTTGTGCGTAATGTTGCGGAAACAGTTGCAGCAGCAAAACTATGCAACAGTCAATCAAAGGATAGCCTATCATGCAGACAGACAGGTGTGTTTACTACTGATGCCGACACACACACACACACAGACGCACATGACGAAAATTCCAGGAACGTCGTAATTCAATTCCACATAGTTTCTTTCGGTTTTCAATAACGATAACAATTTGGCCTCTGTGAATTACAATACTCTTCACAACAACGAAAAAAAACATGATGATCGACGCGGACCCAGACAACGAGGCCGACGAAGACACGCATTATAAGCTGTCAGAATTTAATTGCATCGAACAGATACCGTGACAGCGACATGTTTCGCGGATCGTGAAGGATGTGGCTGGCAGGAGTCAAATGCCAGTGAGAAATGTGAGAACTAATGCGTAAGATTTTCTGAGTTGACAGTATGAGCGGATCAGTGGCGGAGACAAATCTGAAAATTGCTGCCCGAACGAACGTGCCAGCAATGAACCATTTGATACGAGTGTCATAATATCAATGCCATGATTCACTTTAGATAGTTACAGAAAGACCGCATATTATCGATGTTATGGAACAATCCGGACACAAAATTGGGAACCTTTTCTACCTCATTATTTAAGCTATAAGACTGCATTAGTATCAGTTTCAGTTTGAACAACCATTAACCATGCACTTTCGTGCGCCGGTTTTGGTTGCTGTCTTTTGGCTACCCATTGGGATGAAGAATAGGAGAAAGGAAAGTTCAAAGTGGATTCGAAAAGAAAATGGAGAAGTTCAGTGGACTAAGATTGGGAAGAAATTGAAGAGATGCACGAACACCACTGTTTACGACACCCATGCATATCGCTCAGTGTCTCTAACCATCGGTTACGATCATCCCGAGGTCCCCAGCCTCGGGATTAGTATAGCATAGCATTAGTATAGTATAGTATAGTATAGTATAGTATGGTATAGTATAGTATAGTATAGTATAGTATAGTATAGTATAGTATTAGTGTAGCACACAGCTTCACTCCAACTGGGGAGGTGATAGATCGAGAGGACAAGTTTAGTTATTTGAATAACTACATTCGACCCGGTGAACACATCAGGGAAGAAATGTCAGCTCGCATACAGAAGGTTGGATTGGCTTTGACCAATTCGAGACGTACGTGGCGTCGTCGCGACATCCGACTGGTCGTGAAGGATCGAGTTTAGTATGCTGCAGCAGTTCAACCAGTTCGACAGCGTAGAAAGTTGATCATCATAAAAACAGGATCTAGATAGACTGCCGCTGTTTGAACACCGCTTTCTACGCAGCATTGTACGAATTTGGCGGGGCAACCGGACTAGCAATGCTGAGGTTGGGTAGGGAGTTTTAAGTAATCGTGATCACCCATTGCAAGAAGTGGTCGACCTTCATAGAGTAAATTGGTTGGGGCATGTGCTACGCATGTCACCAAATAGATGGCCACGGTGCGCGATGTTTCCCGAAGCACACAGTGGGTGGAAAAAGCCAAAGGTGGTCAAAATAATACTTCGCATGAGGGTACGAAAACCCCAACCAATAGAATGAGTCAAATAGGTCGGGTTGTATACCTGGATGATTGTAGTCAATGGTTTGAGACACTGAGTGATATGGCCGAGTGTCTGAACCGGTGGCGTTCGTGTATTTTCTCAATTTCTTCCACCGAAATTCTCTTCGACTCTATTTTCAACTTTCCTGTTTTGCTCCGACTGCTTCATCCAAATGGGCAACTGAGATATCGCAACTAAAACTGGCGCACAAAAGTGCATAATTAATGGTTGAAGAAAATGAAACTGAAACTCATTAGATGACTTGGTTGATAAGGTAAAATATAACGCCATGACCACTAGGATCTCGAGGCACTTGATCGCATATACGGGTACACATGTGTACAAATCTTTTCAGATACGATGCGCTATTGAATTTCAAGGATTTGGTGCATCCTGTTTTGGTAGAGTACTTTTAATATTCTATTGTCATCAACTCACTGAAACCAGATTTTGTATCTGAAGATGGGTGTACGAGGTAGATGATGGTCGGGAGGACCCTGAATGTGGCTTACTTTAATCACTTTGAGCGAGGGTTTAATGAGCAGGTCAGACAGATCGCTGAAGCGCAATAAAAAAGGTTTCTAAAACTGGTTAGGGCTGAGTAAGTCCGTTTCTGGTTGCAATGGTAGTCACCGTGTACACAAACATTCCTTTCTCGCATGTTCCAGAACAGGCCAAATCCCGATTGGTTGCGAACGTGGGCATGCACGAGAGAAACTTGTTTCACTGAACGTCTGACAGTCGTTCCAGAAAAGTGACGCACACACACACGCGCACACACAAACTGGATCACGCGGACACGCCAGGACTGGCACGATCGAACCGGGACTCGCCGGACCATGTCCAACTGGTACCGGTATGGTTACGAGAGAAAAAAATCAGAATATTCTGAATGTCCTTTTCTGTTGTTTTTTCCCCTTTCGCTCTCTTCGCCTCTCTCGCTATCCCAAACGTGGTGCAGTGCATGGGCAGTGCATGTGTGGGATATTTTTGCACATAGTCATTCGAACAAGCGATTGGAACGGCCAGGCTGTTCTTATCCAACAGAGAAACGTGGACAGAGACGGACGCGTCTATTCGATCCGATACAGGCAATCGAAGAGAGAGACAATGAGACGCACATGTATAAAGAAAGCCAAAAGTCACATGTATGGTGTGTGCGTGTGTGTAATGCGTAGTCATAGTCAAACGGAAAACAATTGACAGCCAATATGACAAGCATACCTGACGGTTACATTTGGAGCAATACATTCCAGTCTAATTTCGACTATTGTTTCGCTCTCTGATCCAACACTCGAGCCTAGAGTTCCCCCCTGTATGCCGGGCCGAAACTACAGAGAATTTCACTGAATACAAAATCAACTAAAACAATTAGGACTACTGTGAAACTGGAAGATTACGAAAGGTGCACAGAGCGTTACACTTTCTATTCACAGAAACAAGCCACGCCACTTTTGTGTATCCGTTTCTTTTCAAACTTTTATGAGGGAGTATAGCAAACAGTGGCTTTGAACTCCTATCAGAGCACAGTGAATAATGTGGAAAGCCGATAACGTTGCCTTATTGGGGACCACTCAACCGTTTCAACCGTTTGACGTTCCAAGTATGCAGTGATGGCGAGTGCTTAGCACCATCAAAGTGCAAAGGACTACTTATACGAGGGTATCCGAAGGTTGTGTCTGCACACATCTTGTGTATTGATTGGCTAAAAGTAGTTCAGACCTATAAGTAACTCGGGAGTTTGATCGCAGCTAGTGGTACTTGGAGAGGGAGAGATCACATCAGGAGTAGCAAAACCAAGAGTAGCTTTGGTTAACCACGACATCAGATTTTTCCTAGAGGAAAGGATATGAATGGCTGAGGTTTGAAATGTTTTACTGAAAGTCGTTCGCTGGTCGGAGAGACCGCTATACAATGCCTCCTATGATTATCGTGGATCACTCAGGCTGATATTACCCGACAATAAAAATTTCCACCTTATTGGGATATACCGTAAACTACTGTGGTTGGCGAAGTTCCTACATTGGCTCTTCTTAAAGAACAGTACACACACACACACGAGGGGAACGGTTCAGGGTCCCAAACCTTGGAGAACAGAGACACTGGTTCTGTGACAAGCTTTTATTTTACTTACTTCGAACAGAGCAAGAAACTTTGTGATATCCCGAGGCTTGGCTATTTTTACGATGGGTCCGTTGAAACCAACCACGGGACGTGCCCTGAAGCACCAGTGGGAGAAGATCGCCCTAGGGACCAGCTAAAGCACGTCGGCTCTGGGAAATGCTCTAGTTCACTGGACACAAATCACATTTGGGAAGGGAATCACAGTCACGAAGTACTCCTCCCAGCCTGTAAGAAGTGGTCATTCATGATGAATAATTGAGACATACGATTCACAGATCGTTTCGCGCTTTCCGATCAAGAATCCGGAGAAGATGGAGGCATCGCTTTCCGTATTCCGATGCACGTGGAATCAACACCACACTTGGCGATATCATTAAGTGGACTGACGTGGATTTCACGTCTCTCGTTGTGAATTGTATTTCGTTGTGTTCGGCCAGGATTGATCATCGTGCATCAAGAAAGCGTAAAGACTTCAACCAGATTCACGATGTCACAACACGACATGGCAGGCCACAACTACCTAGGCCAGCTCAGTATTCTTCATGAGCGACCAGTACTGGATGATGTTAGCCAGTGGGGTCAGTTCTGACTTTCCAGTTAGCGCGTTTTGAAATGCGGTTAGGCATACTGATTGAGAGAGCTTATAGCAATCCAACTGTTGCTGTCTCGTGCACTTTTAACGCCCACTGAAGCACATGGACGGTTTAGTGCATGCTTACGTGTGATCGAATTCGATGAAAGTGATCCAGTGTTTGTGTGTGTGTGTGTGTGTGTATATAGAATGCGGTGTTTGAATTTTTCAAGAATGACCCCACTTTCAAACGCTGGACCATCTCTACTCCAGGAGCCATTTTCGTTTCCAGAGGCCTAATCACAATGGCAATATTTGAGCTGCTTGGACCCCGTGTAAAATCAGCAACATCTTTCTAATTTCTACCAAATAAACATGCATGCGAGAGTTTTTGTCCGTGGTGAAGAATCTCAGAGTCAGAGAGAGTTGACGCCGGTGTTATTCACCCCATCAAACGACTGAGTGATGCAGCAAACATTCATCGGCTTTCCCGAACGTTCCTACACTGGCTCGTAGGATCTGGATCGAGCAGTCGAAATATTCGGCCTGAGTGACGAACCTTAGTTTGATTATAGACAGCACGAAATGGTTCTCAAATGATTGTTTTAGAGGTTGATGCAGTAGTGACCAGTTTTTCTTCATAGGTTGCACCCTATTCAGACAATCAGTAAATGCCGACAGCGATATATATATATATATATATATATATATATATATATATATATATATATATATATACGTATATATATTCTCTAAGTAAGGAGAGGGTTGCATGAACTGCCGATGAATAATTCCACTAACTAAAAAGGATTTTGTTACTTTCTATTGGGGTTTTGTAATTAGTTTCTCTTATTCTTTTAAACATTCTAATCACAAAATTGTGTGACTTTTTCATATTACTTCATGAGAGAATTTCGTTCATAAGATACTCAACGACCACAGTCACCGGGTCAATCCCGAACAATATGCTCATCATTCCCACGCACTACAACCTGATCCAATGTTCGCCGCTTACCCTCCCGCATGAATATTTATCGTAACTCAATTGGTTCCCTATCTGGTTCAGATTCTCACGGTGACACAGTGAAGATCGGCAACGAACTAATTTTAAACCTACAAAGATGAGCACTTGTTTATCATTTTTGTATGACTTTTCGTTTCATTTCATTTTTTATCCTATTGTAATGGCGAACAATATATTTTTCTGACTGCAATTTAGGTATAGTTGATTGCACAAGTCATTTACAATAAAATGCAATAAAACAATAATCAATGAAGCAATAACGATCCCAATGATTCTATTGGTGCTTTGATTGGAATGGCCACACACACACCTGAACACGATATTTGTTCGGGGCAAAGAGTGTGTCGATCAAAGTTTGACCTCTTCGCAGGGTTCTACTATGTGGTTTAGGAATTCCTACAACACGCGGTTGTCTCCTCTATCGATTTACGCGCCACTTTCGATTTGTAAGGTATGGTGGGGTCGTTCAGTCGTTCAATATATGGACGAATGTGAACAGGTCTGCTATTGCCTACCTCCTTCACAATGCATTTTAAAACCACGTGTTATGCGAAATGTTTCTGGAGGGGGTGGGGGACAAATTGTGCATGGCATTGGAAACCAATTTTCTCGGGATACAGCAACAGTGATGTAATAAACGAAATATCGGTAAACAAATACACACAGAAACCCGAATTACGGGACCGATTAGTACAGATCATAGTATAGATTATCGATTTTCCAGATGCAATTCATTGTATACCAATCTTCAGTAACCGAGGGGTAAACTAGTTCAATTATCCGCCGATCGGAGTGAAGACGAGTGGGGTGTGACTGACTGTGGTGCGCTGTGAATGGGGTGAGAGTGGAACCTTCGTGTAATCGATACACCGAGTAGCAGATCTAACGACCCAATACTAACGAATCTCAGATCAGGTGATTTAGATCTCCCAGGAGTGACTATTGCTGTTGGCATGTGAACCGAATCCATCTTCTAGATGACCCCGGATACCGCGATTCTATGCGCAATTTGGTTCTCCCGTGATCAACCCAATGGAGAGGGGAGGGGACGCCATCCGAACACGACTAGAT